TAATGGTTTTTTAAGTGCCTGCATGTGCGTGGGGGGGAGGAGGGGGAAAGAGTCCCATATTGTGCTCCAAGGCTGGCTGCCCTAGCTTTATATTCCCAAAGGGTCTCTTCCTTCTAAAAGGTTAGGAACTGAGGCCAGGGTTAAGGTACCAGTCTTAGACCGTTTTCTAAAGTTTCTAGTAAAATAAGCTTTCCCCCGAAGAACGTGGAATTGGCCAAAGCTTGACCGATACCAGGCTTGCTTCTGAATTGGAAGAGATTGTTTTTACCCCGATATCTTTCTTTGTAGTTATCATCTGTGGAGGGTGTGAATGCTGTAATATCTTTAACATCCTATGTAATGAAGAGCTAATATGATCATTAGACCGTTCAGCGGACTGACCTTCCAGATCCACCAGTGGGCGGGCCCTCGAGGCATCAGGGCTGTGAGGGCCGAGCCCCCCCCTTGCACGAATTTCATGCACCTGGCCTCTAGTCGATAATAATATGCGTGACAACTGTTTCTCAGGGAAAGGGCGGGGAGGGAAGTAGAGGGAGAGTCAGAATTGGGATGTTTAGTCTCTATGGTACTGATGACAGCTTCCTTTCCCTTCCAGCTGATGTGATGCTATTGGTTTTGAGACGCGATTTTATGTTCAAACCGTAACAGTGTCTTCTCCCTCTCTTCAGGCTAGCCAGAACTCCTTCCGGGTAGAATATGACACTTTTGGTGAACTCAAGGTCCCCAACGATAAGTATTATGGCGCCCAGACGGTGCGGTCGACAATGAACTTCAAGATCGGAGGAGTGACGGAGCGCATGCCAGTAAGTGGGCTCCGGGAAATAATTGGCTTACAGTTAGAATGCAATCATTAGAGATCGCGTGGAATACAGTGTTTCTTCCATTAAAGCGTCAGAGAACTTATCAAATACTATTATTGGACTTTCATTTGATACAACCGAAGTGATTTATTTGTCTTTTCATTTCCACTGAGGTTACTCGGAGTTTTACTAGGGTTTTATAATTTTTAAACATTTTTAATTTCAATGCTTAAGTTTAATTGATTTAAAAGGGACTGAGTTTTCTATAATATTATATTTTCTGTGTCTCTTGGGGTCAGTTTCCAGAAAAGTCTACCCAAATGCCTAAAAACATTTTTTGCCGTGTCTGACAGCTAATGGATAATATATATGTATTTGTTCATAGCCACGTGAACGATTTAACGATTAGACATTTTCTGTCATGTTTCATTAAAGCTAAGATGACATCAGTTAGAAGATGTGCCGATACATATCACTAAGAAAAGGGGTGTCAGTTAAAGTTGTGACATTGATTATGAGGTGTACCTCGACTTCAGACATGTTAAAGTGTGGGAAGAATTGATTACATGTGTTACATATCCGACTGAGCCCAACTGGAGTGTGAGCAATAGTCACTTCAGGGGTGCAGGATGGTCTAGCATCGTGGTCGGCAAACCTTGGCTCGAGAGCCACATGTGGCTCTTTGGCCCCTTGAGTGTGGCTCTTCCACAAAACACCACGGCCTGGGCCAGTCTGTGTGGAAGAAGTGGCGTTAGAAGAAGTTTAAGTTTGAAAAATTCGGCTCTCCAAAGAAATGTCCATCGTTGTGCTGTTGATATTCGGCTCTGTGGATGAATGAGTTTGCCGACCACTGGTCTAGTAACTTAGCAGTAACCAGGTTTCACCCGCTGAGATAATGTTTAACAGTTACCTTTAAACATACTTTTATTTCTCAGTACTCTTAGCTTCCATGCGTTAGTTCATTCCTAAGCCTTCAAGACTGGATCTTGACAGGTTCCTACAACTTGACAATAGGCAGCTGAATCTTCCGGAAGAAATCTTTGCTATGGCCACCAGCAGCCAGCTTGGTGAGGGACATAGACACGGGCTCAGATGACATGTGTGGGTGATACGGGGCAGGCACTGATCCTAAAACATCCTCAGATAGTCAGCTCTTGGGATGAAAGAGGTCAGCCTTCCAGTTCCCCTCCTGGGATGAAGGAGGTGGGTCCTGACCTGTGTGGATAGGAGTAAGCAGGGTCGTGTTTTGATTGGCTGGGATTGGATTTCTCAGCTGCGAACAATGGGCACTGGGGTATCCATTTTTCCACTCTTAACCTTCATCCGGATCCATTTCCTGAGCTTCATTAACGATGAAGCAGACTGTGTGTGCCTGAGCCGAGCGGTGTGGTTAAGCCTGACCCTTTGCACCTGAGGTCCGAAGGAGAACAATTTAAAGTGATGATGGGAGCGCATTAAGAATAATGAGCACCTTCTCCCCTCGGCAGTGATGCATTTCACATTTCCCTTTTAATAGCAGGCGGCAGCACGCTCTGGTGACCTTTCCTCCTGCGTGAGGCCACACACCGCGTCAGTCATTGATCGGCAGTCACGTGTGACTCTGGCCATGGGTTAACGGTTAACCCACCGCCCTCCTGTAGAAATGTAATCTCCCATTTGTCTTCCTCTTCACAGCTTTTATTCTCTAATCCTATGTGCCATTTGCCTCCATTTCGTTTGGCTAAAACACTTCCCATGTTTTACTTTATTTTTTGAAAATTCAAAATAAATATATTCTGTTTCTGCTCCCTTTTCTGTTCGCCCTGGGTTTGTTCTCCTCGGCCTGGGTTTAATGTGCCTTACTCCTTACTTTGTCGTTGTTTTTGTCCCCCCCCCCCCCCCCCATTCATTTCCCTGGGGATGGTGAGTTGTGGGAATTCTTTGTATATTTTAGATATTAACCCCTTATAATGAGGTGATTTGAAAGTATTTCCATTCAGTGGTTTGTCTTTTTATTTTGTCGATGGTTTACTTTTCCTGTGAGGAAGCTCTTTAGTTTGTTGTATTTCCACTTGTTTCTTTTTGCTTTTGGAGGCAGTTCCAAAAAAATCATCTCCAAGACTGATGTCAAGGCATTTACTGCCTGTATTTTCATTGATAACTTGGATGGTTTCAGGTTTTACACTCAAATCTGAATCCATTTTGAGTCCATTTTTGTGCAGGAGGCTGTCCAGTTTTCCTAGGACCATTTTGCTATCTTTATTTTATTTGTCCTTTTCTTTTAAGAGAAAGAAAGGAAAAGATAGATTGGGATCCAGTGAGGGAAAATCATGATGGTTGCTGGCGATATGATTGAGCACCATTTGTTTTTTTTCATATCCAATATAATAAAAGCCTGATATGCTAAGTGTCCGACCATTCGACAAGTTGCTATGACATGAATTGACCACCAGGGGGCAGACGTTCTGACAAGTAGGTTACCTTGCTATTGGGGTCCAGCTGATCAGGACTGGGCGAGATGGGATGGACAAGCCCTGGAGCCCTCCCGTGTCCCTCCCTGGCCTTGATTGCGCACCATTGGGGTCCCTCTGCCTGGCCTGCACCCTCGCAATCTGGGGACCCCTCGGGGGATATCGGAGAGTTGTTTTGGCCCAATCCCCGTAGGCCAAGCCGAGGGACCCCAACCGTGCATGAATCCATGCATCAGGCCTCTAGTATGAAATAAAGCACATATATTACAGTGTATTATAAAAAATAGGATGAATGGTACATTGCATGTGTGTGATATTGTGCGTTTTTATGTACAGCTCTTGCACCTGCACAAAATAATAACCTTAAATTTTCACACTAAACTAAAGTCGCAAATTTGAGATGTTTTTCCTGTTAATTTTAGATCCCAGTTATTAAAGCTTTTGGCATCCTGAAGCGAGCAGCTGCGGAAGTAAACCAGGATTATGGTCTCGATCCAAAGATTGCTAGTGCAATAATGAAGGCGGCAGACGAGGTAAAAACACTTTGAAGAGATACTGTTTAAATGTATATATTTTCTTTTTCTTTTTTTTAATTTTTTTTTCATTTTTTTATTAAGGTATTCGTTGCTTTTCCATATTTTATTTCTTATATATACACACAACCCATTAAAAGACTTGTCATTTGGTAATCCGTGTGGAGAAAGTAATTTCCCTCCCCCCCCTCCCCGTGAGCATCCTCCTGTGACCTGTGTCCCCAGGTGGCCGAGGGGAAGCTGAACGACCACTTCCCCCTCGTGGTGTGGCAGACTGGCTCGGGGACCCAGACGAACATGAACGTGAACGAGGTCATCAGCAACCGGGCCATCGAGATGCTGGGGGGCGAGCTGGGCAGCAAGAAGCCCGTGCACCCCAACGACCACGTCAACAAGAGCCAGGTCAGCGCCGCGCGTCTCCGCGCTGGGGCGGGGAGGGTTCCCAGGACGGGCCTCACCGAGCAGGCCTCACCGAGCAGGCGCCGGCTTCTGGACTCAGAGGCGCACCTGCTCATAGTCTTTTCTTTTAAACAAAAGCCAAGTTTATTTGTTAATTCCTTGCATTTGAGGTACTCCTCAAGGGCATCCTTTGCCTGAGACTGTTTTCCATAGTCCTTTAAACAAGTCATAAGGGATTTTCATTTTATTTTATTTTATTTTTTAAAATATATTTTATTGATTTTTTTACAGAGAGGAAGAGAGAGGGATAGAGAGTTAGAAACATTGATGAGAGAGAAACATCCATCAGCTGCCTCCTGCATGCCCCCCTCTGGGGATGTGCCCACAACCAAGGTACATGCCCTTGACCGGAATCGAACCTGGGACCTTTCAGTCCGCAGGCAGACGCTCTATCCACTGAGCCAAACCCGTCTTGGCAAAGGGATTTTCATTTTAATAACACTTAGAAATTCCAGCAAGCCGTCTATACGTTATAGTAAAGCTTTACAATTATCCTGCGTCTTACGAAAATTGTTTATTAAAACTCCTCATAGCCATTTTCAGGGTCCTTAATGACTTCAGTGTCTTTTTTATTTTTATTTTTATATATATATTTTTTATTGACTTTTTACAGAGAGGAAGGAAGAGGGATAGAAAGTTAGAAACATCGATCAGCTGCCTCTTGCATACCCACTACTGGGGTGTGCCTGCAACCCAGGTACATGCCCTTGACCGGAATCGAACCCGGGACCCTTGAGTCCGCAGGCCGACGCTCTATCCACTGAGCCACACCGGTTTCAGTGACTTCAGTGTCTTTAAGGCTCACCACATGGCTTTCCTATGGCCAGCTTTCTCTAAGTTTCTGCAGAGCACATTCAGGTAAGCAGACTTATCGGCTGGCTTGCGCTATATTCTTTAAGAGAAGAATTCTGAGATGTTCTTTCTTCTTTCAGGAATCTCAGGTCTAATGTCTTCAACGTCATAAAATCACTGTTAGGGAAAAGATCATTTAGAAGCTGAATTTAGTATATATGCCCGTTTTTATTATTTTGGTTTCTATTTTAAACTCTTATTTAGAAATACTTTAAATTTATAAACATTGCCAAGATGCTTCAAAGAGTTTCTGTACACCCTCTCGCCAGCTTCCCTGAATCTTAAACATTTTTTAGTAAACCCGCTACATTTACCACTCCAGAGAGTTAATGTTGCTCTCTGCAGACTGCATTAGGATTTCTCTAGTTTCGGCTGATGTCCTTTTTGCCCTAGCTGGTGTGGCTCAGTGGATAGAGCGTCGGCCTGTGGACTCAAGGGTCCCAGGTTCGATTCCGGTCAGGGGCATGCACCTTGGTTGCAGGCACATCCCCAGTAGGGAGTGTGTAGGAGGCAGCTGGTCGATGTTTCTCTCTCATCGATGTTCCTAACTCTCTCCCTCTCCCTTCCTCTCTGTAAAAACCAATAAAATATTAAAAAATGTAAGTTTAAAAACATAGTCATCCAGTGAGGCTTTAACGGAGCCGTCGCAGTCCGGCCCTGGGGCCTCTCCCTGACCGTCGGCTGTGCTCGGACCGCCCCGCAGAGCTCCAACGACACCTTCCCCACGGCCATGCACATCGCCGCCGCCCTGGACGTGCACCAGGTGCTGCTGCCCGGGCTGCAGAAGCTGCACGACGCGCTGGAGGCCAAGTCCAAGGACTTCGCGCAGATCATCAAGATCGGGCGCACCCACACCCAGGACGCCGTCCCGCTCACGCTTGGGCAGGTAGAGGGGCGGCGTGGGTTCGGCTCGCGGTGGGGGTCGGGGCCAGCGGCCAGCGGTCGCTCACCACGTGACCCTGGTGTCCAAGGCAGGCCTGCAGCAGGGCAGTGACAGGTGGTTCTGCTTTCATCCGTCAGCAGTGTTTTCTCCATTTCCTTTTTTAACAAAGATCTTTTTTGTTGAAAGTATTACGTGTCCCCCTTTCCCCTATTTATATTTCGTGCAGTTAGAGTAACCTTGAAGTCACTAAGACAGCGGTCAGCAAACTCATGAGTCAGCAGAGCCAAATATCAACAGGACAGAGATGGACATGTCTCTGGAGAGCCACATTTTTTTAAACGTAAACTTCTTCTAACGCCACTTCTTCAACATAGACTCTCCCAGGCCGTGGTGTTCTGTGGAAGAGCCACCCTCAAAGGGGCCCGAGAGCCGCATGTGGCTCGCGAGCCGCGGTTTGCCGCCAGGAAGCCATGTGTGCTCACCGTGCCTCCTCCTCTCCAGGAGTTCAGCGGGTACGTGCAGCAGCTGAAGTACGCGATGGCGAGGGTGCAGGCCGCCATGCCCAGGATCTACGAGCTGGCCGCCGGGGGCACCGCCGTGGGCACGGGTCTCAACACGAGGATCGGCTTCGCGGAGAAGGTGGCGGCGAAGGTGGCGGCGCTCACAGGTCAGGGGGGCGCGAGTCCTCGGTCCCCTCCGCAGCCCGGTCTGTGCGCTCGCCGGGCGCTCCAGGGCCAGTGCCCTCTCTCTGTTGTCTTCATTCAAACCAGTCCGCGCTCCGGGTTTCCTGACCCAACACGGCCCTGGCTCTGCTCTAGGGTGCCGTCGGCCACACTGTCCCTGGCCTTTCTGGGCTGATGGCCTGGAAGATGCTCTCCCCAGAGGAGGGGACGGGGGGTAGCATGTCACATTGCTCCGTGCCTGGGCGTGGACAGACCAGACTGGGGCTGGCTGCTCTGCATTCAGGAACATCCAGCTCCTCTACTCCCCCGTCGGCTGCGCCCGTCATCGGCTCCGCTGGTGGGCACAGCGCTGGGTGGGGCACCAGGCGCTGTAGGCAGAGCCCAGTCTGCCACGATCCTTCCCCTCCGTCGTCACGGTCAGTGTCCGGCGGCTGAGCCCTGCAGGTCCCCCGCCGACCCCATGGCCTGTCGCCCCCCCAGGCCTGCCCTTCGTCACGGCCCCCAACAAGTTCGAGGCCCTGGCCGCCCACGACGCGCTGGTGGAGCTGAGCGGCGCCATGAACACCACGGCCTGCAGCCTGATGAAGATCGCCAACGACATCCGCTTCCTGGGCTCGGGGCCGCGCTCCGGCCTTGGCGAGCTGATCCTGCCCGAGAACGAGCCGGGCAGCAGCATCATGCCAGGTGCGCCCGCCGCGCGGCCGGGAGGGCCGGGCCCGCTGTTCCACGCCCGCTCTCCGGCCACTGAGCGGTCCGTGTGGCCCCGCCTGCCTTCCTGTGGTGGGAAGGGATGTCGGGGCCGTAGTGTGTGTCTCACTGTGTTTAGAGAAGCTACGTCGCCTTCTGGGTTTGGTCATTGGGCGTGACCGCCATCGTCACGGTGCTGGGAGCCACGCGTGTCTGACCGGAGCCCCGTGTTTCTCTCGAAGGCAAGGTGAACCCGACGCAGTGCGAGGCCATGACCATGGTGGCCGCCCAGGTCATGGGCAACCACGTCGCGGTGACCGTCGGGGGCAGCAACGGCCACTTCGAACTGAACGTTTTCAAGCCGATGATGGTACGTGAGCTCTACGTTGAGTCTCAGCTGGTGCTGACTGAGGGCTCACTGTCCCGGTTTTGGTCTCGTGAAGGCTGTCAGGTCTCACAGTAGGCAGCTGGGGATCGGATCAGCAGCTGGAAGTCAGGTATATGTCACCATTGGAGGGTTCAGGTAGGTGGCTTTTAGCTCAAGGCAGTGGTTCTCGGCCTTCCTAACGCCATGCCCCTTTAATCCAGCTCCTCATGCTGTGGTGACCCCAACCATAACATTATTTCCGTTGCTACTTTGTCACTGTAATGTTGCTACTGTTATGAGTCCTAATGTAAATATCTGTGTTTTCCGATGGTCTTAGGCTCTACAGCAGCGACCCACAGGTTGAGAACCCCTGGCAGGGTCGCCTAAGACCATCAGAAAAGTTATGTCTGCTCATCTCTGTTTTTCTTTTAAGCAAAATCCCTTTTGTCTCTAGTAGAAAATAAGTCAAGAACACCAACATCTGCTCTGTCATTCTCATTCTCACCAAGTGACCGAATCGTGAAGTTCTGTGCCTTCTCCTCGAGTCCATTGTTGAGAGCGTAGTTTTCAGACCCTGGGGTTTTAGACAAAGGAAGTGACGTGGATACGTACCCTATTGCATGCTGGGAGGTTACCAAAAAGAAAGAAAATGCTAAAGCAGACAGATTGACACCATATGTTTCTGTGTGTTGTGTGAAAGGTTATTTGAAAGTGACTGGAATATTGGTTTTGTTAACCATGAAAACACGTGTGATTGCTAAGAGCTGGGCCCCCTGCCTTGCCTGATTTCCTCGCACACGTGCTGAACTCTGACCTCTGCGTCTCTGCTCCCCTCCACAGGGTCTCCAGCTCTTCAACTGGCATCCATTCCCCTTCCCTTTGCCCTACCTTTTCACCCCGTGTTTCACAACAAACGCAAATAACCGCAGGCTGGCCGGCATTGTGGCTATTTGCATGTGTTATTTATTCATTCCTCTTTCAGATCGCTGTGCCCTCACATGTGTCTGTCTTTCCTGTTTGTTGTCCTGGGGGTGGTGCCTGGAAGGTCGTAGGGGCGCTGTGTGTGTGTGTGTGTGTGTAATTCTGTGTTCTCTGACGGATCAGCGGACGATGCCATGCTGTGGACATGTGCACACAGTCAGCCTCTCCTCCCGCAGATTAAGAACGTGCTGCACTCGGCCCGGCTGCTGGGGGACGCGGCCGTGTCCTTCACCGAGAACTGCGTGGTGGGCATCCAGGCCAACCAGGACCGCATCGCCAAGCTGATGAGCGAGTCCCTGATGCTGGTGACGGCGCTGAACCCTCACATCGGTAAGGGCCGGGGAGCAGAAGGCCGTTTTGAGTTCAACATTCAAGAGCTAAAACCATTTGCAATGCTTACAGATGGCAGTTTCCTTTCGGACGTTGTTTAAGTCAGATCTCCTAGAATATCTGCAATTGCGTCATAAGACACTCTGTCTGACTTATGGTGTCATCGTCTTTCAAACACCCGATCGGTTATTCTTCATTTTATTTGAGAATGGGGTCAGTTTCAAAGTAGAAGTGAAACTGCTTTCTGTGTCCCTGGAGCCCGGTGTTTTAGGCCAGTGGTCGGCAAACCGCGGCTCTTTGGCCCCTGGAGTGTGGCTCTTCCGCAAAATACCACGGCCTGGGCGAGTCTGTGTTGAAGAAGTGGCGTTAGAAGAAGTCTAAGTTTAAAAAATGTGGCTCTCCCAAGAAATTTCGTTTCTTGTACTGTTGGTATTTGGCTCTGTGGACCCATGAGTTTGCTGACCACTGCTCTAGGTGCTGGGAAGGAGCTTATCCACCAGGTGGCGCTGGCGACCAGCAAAGGGAGTGAATCCGTTTTCTGCCTTCTCCCCTGCTGGCCTGGCCGTAGTTTTGTTCAGTTAATAAGGGGAAGTCACCAGTGAGAAGGAACAAGGTTATTCGTTGCTCTGTTTTGTCTAGAACCACAGCTTTCATGCTACAAGCCTCTTCTAGAATTGGGAATACTTCATTACATAGATACAGGCTGTAGACTCGGGTGCAGGCTCAGCACAGGGATCCCCAGCCAGCCCCCTGCGGGCCCCGTGGGTTCCGGGGCTGCTGGTCACATGCTGATGCCTCAGCCTCCGTCCACCTCCCCTGCTGCTCGGAGAGGGACATAGTCTTTGTTTCTGTCAGACCGGGTTCAGCTGTCTGGCATGTATGCTCACTGCTCGCAAACGCCCTTCTAGAATCCTGACCGCCCAGGGCTGGTTTGATACCTTGGCGTCGCATCGAGCTTTCATTTCACCCTTAGAGAGCCAGGGCCCATCTGCCCGCCCAGGGGCTGGGGGCCCAATCAGATTGCCATCCTTCGGTGCACTGTACGCCCCGCAGTGCCTGGCTGGTCTCCCTCCCCCACCCCCCAACAGTGCCTGGCTGG